CACTTAATGCCCCATCCAATCAACTATCTCCTTAAGGGTGGTTAGAAGAAAGATCTAATTTAGTAACATGTAAAAGTATCATGACCTCTTAATTATTTGAAGCATAGAACAGACATTTTCTCGTGATAAAAGGATTTTTATAAAGGAGACGAGTACTTCTAATAGTGATTTCTCATATTATTTTCACATTCATGACCTTCAGAGGCTGAGTCAAACAAGTGTGATCAAGTCTATATCAACTGTCAGATGACACTTGAGACATTACTTGAACACTGTGATCCTGGTTTCTCACCTATAAAGTCAGAATGCTGATAATACTTTCCTCATAGAGTTATGTGAATTATAAATGAAGGAAGGTCTTAGCATGGTACCTATCATATTACTCAGTAAGGAGTGGGTTTAGAAAAACACCCTGAAATAGTAATGATGAAAGTGACAGCAAGAACAATGACACTGCACTAATCATTTACGTAGATTATCTCATTTAATTTTAAATCAACAACGTAAGGTAAATACTGTTGTTCCCCCTATTTTAAAGATAAAGAATGTGAGACTTAGAGAGCTTAAGAAACTTGTTAATGTCACATAGCTAATAAAAGACAGAGCAGGGGTTGACTAGGTGAAGGCAGCATCTATAATTATCATATTCTTATCCTCATCATCACCATCAACTCATCCAGTGATCTCTTTAGCAGACTGGGCTAAAAGATGAGTTTTGGGGTACTTCCAAAAATAATTGCCTCCCCTTGGAAGGAATCCAGAACGAGCCCACAGTAAGCTAAATTCTGCGTTCGAGTAGGCTGTTACACAATTGCCAGGATTCATTCCAAGCACCTAGAAGGCACATGAAAGATGAACAGATAGAATTTGTCAGATTTCTCTCTACCTTTAAACATATCCCAGTGTAATCAAGGGAACTGGGACAAAGCCATATGTCTATACCTAAAGGCATTTTAAAAAAACAACAACAAAGACTATACTTTCAGGGATCATTTCTATAGTTCGTTAAAAAAACAACAACACATCATTACAATTAGCTCATCTGGTTGTCACTCTCAAGGGAATCAAACACAGACTCAACACTAGGCATTCACACTTCACATGAACTATGCTCCACATTGTTAATGAATGATAAAAGTTAAAAGGATTTGAGTGTAAATGTCTGAGTGAACAGAGAGAGTACCAAAAATGAAAAGGTAACAGTTTAATCAAGTCGAATTATACAAATCCCTTTACTCAAAATTATTCACTCATTATAATTCCCCTATTCAATTAAAAAAATGTAAATTTTATTTTGTATATTAATAAAGTACATTTTCCCTAAAAAATGTTTCAATGATTTATGATCATATATGTGTAATTATTTTAAATATTCATATAAAAGGTGACAATTTCACAGAAACATCATAATATACTTAAATAAACCACAGAAAAGGAAACTATAATATTGATATAAAATTTACATTCTCATTTTTTCAAAAACAAATGAAATGCTCTAAATTTTTTTTAAAGAAGAGTCTATTGATTTTTAGAGAAGGAGGGAGGGAGAGGGAGAAACATAGATGTGAGAGCACAACATCAACTGACTGCCTCCTGCAGGCCCCCTAGGAGGCATCAAGGATGGAGTCCACAATCTGGACCTGAAATGGAACTGGCAACCTCCTGGTGCGAGGGACGATGGCTGACATCACACCAGCCTGGGCTGCTCTAGATTTCTAATAAGAGGAGTTTCTAATGTGCACAAATTACTTTTAACTTTTGTTTCAGAATTATCAACAAGAGAGTCACACTTAAAGTAGGCTGTGAAAAAAAAAAAAAGTACGCTGTGATTTTTTTTGTTTTAATTCAATTTAAAACATGACTTAATAAATGTTGTTCACTTATAAATTTAGACATATTCATAAAAATTGGAAGAATTACAAAGAGTAGTTGTACCTGAAGATTTAATATGCAATTTGATATTTCAAAGACTTGACACCTAAAGCCAAATAACAGTAGAGCATTTCGTAACAAGACTATAAATGGAAATCACTTGAGTATGACCTCTGGTGACTAGGGAAATATACCCAAAGCCATTAGATTGTGGAGTTTTCACATGTCAGTACTGTGCTTCCTCCCACATGACAATCACATTCCTCCCAATCTATATAGGAATTAAATCAAAAGCAAGACCTCATCACCCCTAGCTACTTAGCAGCAATTCTCATTTCACTTCTTGACATACTTTAGGGTAAATCTCAGGTCAAGATCAGACACGCGGAGGGCTATCCTTTGAACAGGATAGCCCTTTTCTCCCCCTTGTTCACATCCTTTTCATTAGGCCTGTGACTCAACCCCGGCCAATCAATGAGGAAGTAGAGAGGCAATCAATGTAAGGGAGTTGGGCAGGGAAGAAGGCAGGGGTTTCTGTTACCCAGGAGACTCTATATTTTAAACGAGGTCATTGGTATTTATATGCTCCCAGTTACAGAGTCATTATCTCCCTTGTTATAATTGTTTTCATTAGTGGAAATTGTTTTCATCAATAATTAAAGCCCAAGTGAAGATGTTAGGACCCTATCGCTTGAGATGAAATCTGGAGTCAGAAAGACACTGGTTTTAATCCTTTCATACACTTCTCCCCCTTTTCCCTGAGTGACTGAGAAAGGTCCTCAGTGCCTGTGAGCCTCTGGGTTGAGCTCTGTGATAGAGGAGGGCGGCACCTCCTGGGATCCTTGTGATGTGATCAGAGGCTTAGCCAGAGCCTTTCACTTAAGGAGTGCTTATTGTCAAAGTGACTTATACACCACCACTAATTACAACTGAATGCCCGGGTGCAGGGCAGGGCAGGGGTGGGGGTGGTTTCCTGCCTGCCCAAGCCCTCCCTTCTCACCCAAAGCTGTCATTCTCCTCTGCAAGGTTTCCCCCTTCCTCACCACAGTCTGTGAAGCTCGGGCAGACGTCATTGCTAATCATTGATTAAAGTCATCCACACTCAGTAATGAATAAGGCTCAACAGAACGGTGAACTCTTGCCTGTTTTCTTCATGGATCTGTTTGAAGCACCTAGCATAGTGCCTAGTACATAATGGAAATGTAAAAAAAAAAAATTTTTTTAATTTGTGAAAGATCAGTTAAGATATAAATAAATGCAACGACACTTCGATTTTACCTTAAAAAAATCACACAAAAATGAGATGGCCCAGTCATTGTGTTCATGGGGGGGAGCCTCTGACAATTCATCCTGAGTTTGAATTTGGACTGTATGACTGACCCAGTAATGTCTCTTCTGCGTCTCAGTTTCCCCATCTGTAAAATGGATATACTGGTACCTCATACTATTATTATGATTTTTTTTAAAAGGTACTAAATGAATAAATGACCTAAAATTTCCTGGCTTAAAAGAAGCACTCAATAAGCACTGCGTGTTTTATCAAAACCTGGCATTTCAGTGAGGCAGGCACTGAGGCCCTGGAAGGTCCCACAGCCAGCTGGCAATGCAGAACTCAACAGCCACATCTCAAGGCGGTCTCTGAAGAAGCTCTCAGGGTGTGTCAAGCTGCCTGCTTATTTCTTCATATAGACTTTCTAAAACTATTTACAAGGAGGGGTGGGGGGAGAAGAAGAGGGGGTTGGATGTGGTTCATTCTCTCTTGCAAAGACTTTTGTGGAGGGGTGGGAGGGAAGCAGTGTTCCCAAGTGCCTGCTGGAAATGAAAAACAAAACAAACAAACAAAAAACTTTGAATCATGCCACACAAAGCAGATAATATAATAACTGCCTTAACCCTGGTTTTAGCAGACTTAGGCAAGTAGGCACTTTTGTTCTTTTTTGTTCCCTGGATTTGGGAGCACACAGATCCAGGGAAACGGGAATCGAATGCGGTAATCCTGGAGGTGTCTTCAGGATGAATACAATATTCAGTCACAGACCGCCTCCCTGCCTCCTCCCACCTCACCTCCCTGCCCTCCCCACAGCTTGTGCCGGGGACCACGAGTGGCTCAGAGCCAGAGGAGCGAGGGTGGGGGCGGCGCCTCCTGCCTCAGCCACGGGGACGGAGCAGGAGCAGGTGGGAGGTGGAGACGAGGCAAGGAGCTCCTCCGAAGCGCTCAGCTGGGAGCACGGTTTTCCTCCAGGACCTGCCAAGTGGGACCACAAGTGCAGACGGGAAGAACCCAGCACAGCTACCTGACCAGCGGCGCCCCCTGGCGCCTCCTGGATGGGCCAGGAGGGCAGGTGAGTGCCCGGCCCTCCTCCCCACGCCGCCCGCCCGGTGTCCAACAGGTTGGCGGCCAGGACGCCGCTCCCTCCGGGGGCAACACCTCCGGGCTCACCTGGACGCGCCGCTGGCTCCTCCCTGCACCCAGGCCTCGTTCCCATCACACGGGGGCCCCTGCACCCCCGTTCTGGTCCCCGCTCCGCAAGTGCGGGCTCCGCTGTGCGCAGGGCCCAGAACTCCTGCTCTGCTCTCCTCCGGGGACCCGCAGCCACCGAGATGGCTAACTCCGGGGGCGCAGAGACTTCACTGAAAAGCCATCATTCGTGCTCCTTAGGTCTCAGCCAGGAGGCCAAACCCGGAGAGAGCCGGGGGAGGGAAATAGAGCGGCAGTGACAGTCAGACTAGGAGGAGAGTGAAGGGGCGCAAATGAGGTGGCGCCCTGTCCCCGAGCCCCGGCCCCAAGGCCCTCCTCCTCCCCACCCACCCGCCGCCCCCCATTCCCCAAGGGGGCACTCGCGGGGAGTAGGAGCGATCACGCCGGGTACCACTGCCTCTGCTTCCTGAACTTTCCGCCTGGCTGCCCTCCTGCAGGAGTGAGTCTTGCATTCTGCCGCCAAGAGTCACCTGGTCTCCTCCTCCTCCTGGACTCTACACCCGCTGCCCCCACCAGTAACCAGGCTCTCCATCCCTGCACCTCGCGGGCTCGGGATCTCCTTACAAAGTCAGGGTGGCGGTGGGGCCCAAGTCTGGGGAGGACCGACCCTCCCTCCTCGCCTGCGCGCTCTGCCCTGGGATTTGCAGCCGCCGCGCACTGGCAGCTCCCAAGCACCAAGGGGCTGAGAGGAGGGGTGCGAGGGTGGGAGGCAACCCCCTCGGCATCCCGGGAAACCCCAGCCGCCACCAGGGGCCGTGCCAAAGCCTCCCCCCCCCCCCCAACTCCGTGGCGCCCCCAGGCAGCGGGCGCCGGGATGGAGCTGCTGCCCCGGGGCCGGGCGGCGCCGCCGGACTCGCCGCCGGACAGCGTGTCGCTGGGCTCGCTGGAGTCCAGCGTGTTCTGCAGCGAGGGCGAAGGGGAGCCCCTCGGGGCGGGGGACAGCCTCACGGTGAACGTGGGCGGCAGCCGCTTCGTGCTCTCGCAGCAGGCGCTGTCCTGCTTCCCGCACACGCGCCTGGGCAAGCTGGCCGAGCTGGTGGCCTCGTGCCGGCGCCCCGGGGCCCTGGCCGCCGCGCCCAGCCCGCTGGACTTCTGCGACGACGCCAACCCCGTGGACAACGAGTACTTCTTCGACCGGAGCTCGCAAGCCTTCCGCTACGTGCTGCACTACTACCGCACCGGCCGCCTGCACGTCATGGAGCAGCTGTGCGCGCTGTCCTTCCTGCAGGAGATCCAGTACTGGGGCATCGACGAGCTCAGCATCGACGCCTGCTGCAGGGACAGGTACCCAGAGGACCCGGGGCATCGGAGGGGGGCGCCAGAGGTGAAGATCGGGAGGGTTTGCACAAGCCTCGCTAAACCGTGGCCTAGGACCATTTGGCCACTTCTGAGCTGGAAGGTAGGGGGCAGGGGGCTGGAAAGAGTCGGAGCCTACTCTTGGTTGGAACTTGTTGAACCTTCTTTTTATTGATTTTTTACAGAGAGGAAGAGAGAGAGGGATCCAGAGAAACATCAATGAGAGAGAATCATGGATCAGCTGCCTCTTGCACACCCCCTACTGGGGATGTGCCCGCAACCAGTGTACATGCCCTTGACTCGAATCGAACCCGGGACCTTTCAGTCCACAGGCCAACGCTCTATCCACTGAGCTAAACTGGTTAGGGCTGAACCTTCTTTTTTAAATGAGCATTTGTCCAAGGCAAAGGAGGCCAGGCCTGCAATAAATATTTGGTGATTAAATGAGTCACAAAAGCTATGCTCCAGAAGAGGCATATAGAGGGACGTCAGTCTCACTGTGAAGTATTATCGTTTATCAAGTCTAGGACCCTCGTTTAAACACTTGGCTGGGACTCTGTTTTAGACACACAAATGGGAAGTTGATTCCTTGGCTTTTATGACCGCTTTGCTGTTATATTTCTGTTGCCGTCATTTCTTCACAAAAATCCCTTTCCATCACACACAAAGTTCCATGCTGGCAAACTCCAGTTTCTGTTGCAAAGAAGATGAGTAAGAATGCATTGAGGCAGCTTTGCTCTGCATAAATCCTTTTGTATAAACTTCTACCACAAAATTGCCACTTTAAAAATAATAAGCCTAAATGATAAAGATAGAATACTGTAGGCAGGAGACAGCCTGGGTGAGATAGGAATGGGCATTTTCTGCCTTTCGCTAAAATAAGAAGCATCACCTCACGACCACGTTTAATTCTCTTTTATACTTGTGTATTAAAAAAAAAAAAGTTGACTAATCACGAAGTTGTCTTCTCTAAAAGATACTTCAGGAGGAAAGAGCTGAGTGAGACCTTAGACTTCAAGAAGGACACCGAAGACCAGGAGAGTCAACACGAGAGCGAGCAAGACTTCTCACAGGGACCTTGTCCCACCATCCGCCAGAAGCTCTGGGACATCCTGGAGAAGCCCGGGTCGTCCACCGCCTCCCGCGTCTTCGGGGTCATCTCCATCATCTTCGTGGCCGTGTCCATCGTCAACATGGCCCTGATGTCGGCGGAGCTGAGCTGGCTGGACCTGCAGGTGCTGGAGATCCTAGAGTACTTCTGCATCAGCTGGTTCACCGGGGAGTTCGCCCTGCGCTTCCTGTGCGTGCGGGACAGGTGCGGCTTCCTCAGGAAGGTGCCAAACATCATAGACCTGCTGGCCATCCTGCCCTTTTACATCACCCTTCTGGTGGAGAGCCTGAGTGGGAGCGAGACCACGCAGGATCTGGAAAACGTGGGGCGCATCGTCCAGGTCTTGAGGCTGCTCAGGGCTCTGCGCATGCTAAAGCTGGGCAGGCACTCTACAGGTATTCGGATCTCATTGATGTATTTCAGCTCGTTGTTATTTTTTTTAGGCATCCAGGGGGGTTTGGGCCCATATTCCAAGGGAAGCGACTCTGCATTGACACGCAAAGTACCAACTCCTGTGCCCACCCAACCATGACCTCCAAAAAGTTATTGGGAAGCAGAACCTCGAAGTTGTTATCACAGGTACAAAGGAAACTGCTCTCACACTCTCTCCCCCCAAGGCAGTGGAGATATAATTTGACCACTTGTTCATCTCAATTTGGTTTAACCCTGTGCCCAGAAAAGACTATATAAGTATATATATATATAAATAAAATACTAAAGACACTGCCTCTAGAATGTGCCAAATTAAATATGCATAAGCAGCACATAAAATTACATGCCTAGGTTACATATGAGATTTAGGGACATAAGCCAGTTTCTCTTCAGTGTCCACACATGTTCTTTGGCATGAGAGAAAGCCTTGCCCTGTTGAGTCTTCGCTGGCTACACAGGAAGAGAGAGGACCAGGCGCTGGTGGCCTTCTGGGAAGGTTTTAAGAAACAATGGAAATATTTTTGGGGGGAGAAAGCAGAAGGCACTAATTCATCTGGTGTCTGAGAATTTTCTTGACTGGGATGCATGAGAGAGGTGGGAACAAGAACTCCTTAGCTTTTTGTGTGTAGGATAAAGCCTAGGTAATCGAACAAACATTCTCCCTAGAAACATCTCCACACAGTTGTACTTAAAAATGATAGCCAATGCCAGGGGAAATCACACAAATCCATTAGGAATGATCTTGCCCGTCTGAGGGCAGTGATTCTCAAAGGCCAGCCCTGCGCCTGTTGGACACTCTGGACTACATACGTTACCTTCTGTTAGACTTTAATGCAAAGAGGAAGCCCATGAAAATCTTCTTATGAGGCAAATTCTTAGCTCAGTCTTTAGAGAGTCTAATGCTAGTATTTGGGGTCCAGGATCATACATTTTAACAAGCTCACAAGTAATTTTGATGTAGGTGGTCCTTGGACTTGAACAAAAACCTTGGCATTATCATCACGGGAATAGAATAAGAAACAATTGGAGTAGAATGCTATATTATCATACATACTAATGCATTACATGTGAATACAAATAATTGGGCTAGAGAGTCCTTTATCATCTTATTTCTCTAGATATATGCCTGGCAGATCACCTAAGCGAAGTTTATGATAATTGTTTCTCCATATAGAGAGAAATTAACCTCAGATATCTTTTCACATCTCTAAAGTAATTGGGACTTATCTTAATATAATTTTGATAGTGTGTTTTCCTAGCTAGTCTCACTACCAAGGATTTGATAATGGGGTTACCAACAACTTTTAGAAGTACTACCCTTTGTTTTCTGACACACATAATAGGATGCTTGCTACTAGTATTTATAAACTCTTCACAGGATTCAATTTAAAAACACCCAGTAAAGACTACATTTTTCCCAAAAGAAAGGAAAAAAGAATATAATAGTAATTTCTGCAATGTCACCTCTTCAAAGATTTTTTTTCAGTTCTAAAGTATTAATGGAATCTTCTTTTATTGAAAAGATATGGTCACTTGAACAAATACTGGACAATTTTAACCTAAGCATAACATTTAGAAAAATACAGGCATAGATAACATATTCCCCTATGTAATAACTATAAGTACAAATTGAAAGGTATTTTGCAATAAGTTAGAGCAATGGTAAGCCAGAGAGCCCAGATTTAAGTCCTGGCTCTGTAGCCTTGTACTAGAGATGCTTCCTGTCTATGCCTCAGTCTTCTTGTGTGTAAAAAATAATAATAATTACAACATCTATCTCCTATTTTTTTTAATAATAATCTGAGTTAATAGATGTAACATGAAGAAGTTCAGACCACTTTATGTTTCTTTACAAAATTGTTTGGGACAGTGGTCGGCAAACTCATTAGTCAACAGAGCCAAATATCAATAGTAACAATGATTGAAATTTCTTTTGAGAGTCAGATTTTTTAAACTTAAACTTCTTCTAACACCACTTCTTCAAAATAGACTCACCAAGGCCATGGTATTTTGTGGAAGAGTCATACTCTGGCCAAAGAGTCGAATGTGGCTCATGAGCTGCAGTTTGTCGACCACTGGTTTAGATTTCATCTTGAAATGAAAACAGTCACCCCAAACACTATATGCTTTTCCTCATATGCTGTCAATTTATTTCAGAAATACAACTCAATACAGACACATCAAGGCCAATTTTCTAAAATGTATTCTGAAGATATTCTAAAAAGTTTTCTTTTTAAGTTAAGCCTCAAAATTAATATTCACTGATCTGAAAACATAGCTGGTAAATAATCCAAGAGTATCTTAACATTTTAAGAACAAAATTCAAAAGAATGAGAGCATCACTAGTATTTTAATGCATCTCAAGTAGTCTCTAGTGAGTGAATAAAAATTTTAAATGATTCTAAGAGGAATTGCTTTGGACTTTGGAGACAATATCATCGTGACATCAGGTTGATATGGCTTCAAAATGTGGGTACATACAAATTTAGCAGTGTCTCTCTAGTGTTGGGGAAGATACCTTATTCAAATAACAGTCCCATTACAGTCGCATCTTACTCCCCAAGGCTTACTCTCTTCAGAGATGGGAATGGCCTCTCTTGGGTCTGTCTCCCAAGGGCCCAATGAATCCTCAGGACAGCAATGAGGAATTCACCAATGAGTGCATTTCCTAATGGCTCCACTCTTCCATACCTTTTTGCAATGGAGGGATAGTCTATATTCAGGTCTGCTTCCTTACAAGAATGCAGAAATTCTATGTACTGAAAGGAAGTATTTTTCCTGGAGCTTTCGTGTGAAGGACTAGAATCTCAAAGGCTGTCATGGGAGTTCAGGAGCCCCTCCTGGCTGACCTCTAAGATTATCCTCTGAATGTGCATTTGATGTTCTGACCTCGGTTGTGTCACTGATGCCCAACTTGCTTCACTTCGTTCTCCTGGCTATGTCCTTTACTGCCTCTGGCTTTCAGATAATGATGCGCTCATTGTGTTAAATGTTATTGGGAGGGTGAGAAAAGTAGACAGCATAAAATTGGCTTGAGAAAAGTGTGTCAAAGTCTGGCACTAGTCTAACCTAGTGAGCACTCCCCACTCAACACTGCAAAGACCTCTCACTGTACAGACTTACGTACACATTCCAATCATACACCCCTCCCTGCCTTTTTATTCCGTAACTCACTTTTTTCTGTATAAATAGTAGGTGTTTAACAAGTACACACGTGAGTGAATGGGTCTAATTATATTTCTTTTTATCCTTCTCAATCCAGCCCCACCAACTAGACTATGAGCTTCCTGAAGACAAGGATTATGATTTGTCATCCATGTACCCTAGAACACTGCCCAGTACTGGAGACCTAGCAGATATGAAATGCATATTTGTGGGGAGATAGCAAGGAAGGGAGAGAAGGGTGGGAAGAGGGAGGAGGAGGGGAGGGGTGCCCGTGACTAACAGCAAATGTTCTGTTACAGGATTACGCTCCCTTGGAATGACAATCACCCAGTGTTATGAAGAAGTCGGCCTACTGCTCCTTTTTCTGTCTGTGGGGATTTCTATCTTCTCCACGGTGGAATATTTTGCTGAGCAAAGCATCCCTGACACAACCTTCACAAGTGTCCCTTGTGCGTGGTGGTGGGCCACCACATCCATGACTACGGTGGGCTACGGGGACATTAGACCAGACACCACCACAGGCAAAATCGTGGCCTTCATGTGTATCTTATCGGGAATCCTCGTCTTGGCTCTGCCTATTGCTATTATTAACGACCGCTTCTCTGCTTGCTATTTTACCTTGAAGCTCAAGGAAGCAGCTGCCAGACAGCATGAGGCTCTGAAGAAGCTCACCAAGAACCTAGCCACGGACTCATACATCAGCGTGAACTTGAGAGATATCTATGCCCGCAGCATCATGGAGATGCTCCGACTAAAAGGCAGGGAAAGAGCAAGCACCAGGAGCAGTGGAGGAGATGATTTCTGGTTCTGAATTCACTTTCATTTAGTTTATTTACAGAAGCTTATGTAAAACTAATTCAATCTATAAAGCCTTGATATGGTTGTCTGTGTACTGCTGTGGAGTCTCTTTTGAGTACTCCCTGTGTTCGTTATTGCTGATACATTGCTTAGTTTGCTAGGATAGTTCATCAGTCCCCAATAACTGTATTTTGATACACTTGAGTCTCAAAAATAACCATCTAACACAACCCAATACAACTAGACCAATATAACATGTCAGAATTGGCAAATATAAAATATCGCAATACATGCAAGAGTTAAAAGTTTTATGCATCGCTGTTTGTTGCAGTACTAATTTTTTTAAAAAGAAAAGAATGTTAAACTGCCAAGCCCAGAAAAAAGAATAGTGAACATTTATGACTACACTAAACAATTTTGTTATTTAAAGATATTCCCCAAGTAAATAAATCATGCCTTTCTTCATCCATTAAAGCTGTTGAATACAACTATGATATTACATTTACAAAAGAAAAATCCTGATCTGTTGGTCATTTCTTCCCCTGGTGCATACCCTGGTCACAAATGGACTGAGCTCTGTATTCCACCATTGTTACCATAGATGGGTCTCTCAACAGCTTAGACTTCAGTAGAAGAATGCCACACAGTAGCTTTAAGAATCACACTTCTTCATCCTCCCACTGAGGGCTATATGTTGAGTGTAAAGCAGATATCTCTTAGTATTCCATGGAAATTAGATGGTCTTTAAACATATCTTTATCAATGTAGTGTTCAAGTCATGTCTTTAAAAACATGAACATGTAAAAATGTAGTGAACATTTTAAATTTATATACTGAAATCATTAATTAGTCTAATTTTATGAAATAAGAATCATATGTTGAGTGATACCACTGGATCCACTTGAAGATCTTTTATTTGTTAAAAAAAACATTACAGATGACTATCTGACTATAGGGGTAAATAACAAATGTTCAAACGTTGCATGCATTTTTACAGCATTTGGACATTCATGATAATAAAAAAATTCTAAGACATTCTGTCATATAATTAAAGCCAAGAGTCTAAACCTAATAATTAGCTCATGTTTCCCAATATTCAGTAAGAAAGATTTTTAAAACTAAGTATAATATGGAGTATCACTTTAATACCTGTATTCTCAGTGGGTGTAACAGTGCCAATAATGGGATGAAAATAGGTTCTTACAGGGCAAAAGTATCCTATTCTTTATTCATAAACCACATATATGTGTATAATAAATTAACAGATAAAGAGTATAACTATGGTATTAAAATTTAATGGGGTAGGAAATTAGAAAAAATGGCTAAGAGCTTCTTGCCAAGGTTGGGTGGTGATAAGAAATAAATATGGAGCAATACTGCTTTAACGTGTGACTATATCATATTTTATCAATTATTCTGAAGTTCTATTATATGATGGACTGCAAAGGAGAAGGAAAGAAGGAAGGAAGGAAGGAAGGAAGGAAGGAAGGAAGGGAGGAAGGAAGGGAGGGAGGGAGGGGGGGAGGGAGGGAGGGGGGGAGGGAGGGAGGGAGGGGGGGAAAGAAAAGAGGAAGGAAGGGAGAAAAGAAGAAAGGGAGAGAGGGAGGGAGGGAGGGGAAAAAAAAAAGGGGGAGTAAAAATGAGAACCCAATCAAGTATACTAGTAAGATGCCATTGAGTATAAAATGCATCCAGAGTTGGGAAATGTAAAAATTTAAAGTATACATATTAAAATTAATGAACTATCATATATACTACCTGGTTTTCTGATATGCATTCTTAAGCCCTAAAAACATTTTTATTGATGGCATGAGTTTTAGATTATATGGCTACAATATTTTAATTCACTTGGTTTGTTACCACTTCTCCTAAATTTTGTGATTTAGGAAGTTATGAGTAGTAATAGAATAAATATTTTGTTTTACACAATTTCCAGTGCTAAAGCATGCCATAGTGCCACTAGTTAAATCCCATTCACAATCTGAAGGGGAAATAGAGGTTGGACATAGAAGGCAAACTTACCCAGGCTTCTCTGGAACTCTGCTCAATAAGAATAGTTACTTTAATCTAGGACTTCTATACTCATTATGTATCACGTCACTTTAGCCTCACAATATCCCTATTATACATTTGCTATTCTTGTAGTTGGTATACTTATTCATTCAACAATACTTGTTCAGAATCCATCTGTGTACTAGCCCTAGAGATTATTTGTTGAACCACATTAAGTCCTGTTCTCTTGTATTTAATATTCTATTCGAGGGTTTGAGGGGAATATAGATGGCAAAACCGAGGCATAAGCTGAAGTAACTTGTCCACATTCATACAGTCCATACACAGGTGAAAGATTCAGGAATGAATCCCAATCTGCTGGAAATGATACTCCTAAAGGTCACATTATAGATTTCATATCTCCAATAGCCTATTTGTAGGGTATTGATGCCTTAGGCAGAGAAGCCAATTTCTTATAGGTGGAGAGGTTTAATATGTCCTCAGAAAAGAAATCAGCTTATTCTCAGAGATGGAATGGTGCTTTTAAGGAAAAGTTGCTCTCATACCTTATAGTCATTATGAAAGAGGACAAACATTATTTTTAGAATAATTAAGTTGGAAAATGGAAAAAAAAACAACAACTATGTTTTATGTAGTTTTTGTACTAAACATCTATGTTATGGATGTTTCAAAGAAATTTTTAAATATGTTTATTCAGCTTTGTTGTTAAAATACCAGTAGAGTTACTCAACACATGCACATACCAATATAAGCAACCCAAATTTAAGTAACAAAACAAAGCAGAAACTCTGTTAATCTTATATCCAATAATTTAAAAATATTTGACATTATTTTTAAAATCTAAGAATTATTGCTACAAAACAATATTCACTTTTTGGTAAGATAAATAATGGAATTACTGGCTTTCTGTAAGCTCTCAGAATACTAATTAAAACATTGGAAACCGGTTTGGCTCAGGGGATAGAGCATCAGTCTACGGACTGAAGGGTCCTGGGTTCGATTCCAGTCAGGGGCATGTACGTTGGTTGCGGGCACATCCCCGGAAGGGGGTGTGCAGGAGGCAACTGGTCGGTGTTTCTCTCTCATCGACGTTTCTCGCTCTCTCTCTCCCTTCCTCTCTGTAAGAAATCAATAAAATATATTTAAAAAAATTTTGAGTGTACATTTTTAAAAGAGCTATTTTAAGAAATGAATGAGGTATCCCTGGTAGAAAAGGCATCATGTTCATATTTTCTTGTTTTTCCAATATATACAATAAATTGTTTCATTTGTCATCTTAATGAAAATTAGCATTAAGTCCAATGTCTGAGATGCACAAAGAAATTAACTGAGGTAGAGATCTCAGTGCTGTGTTTCCGTGTGGAATTTTTCTTACTGTCATTAAAATATTTTTATTAACTCTTGCAGAAAATATACATGATGGCCCAAGGTATCTAAGCAAAACATCATAGGCAAATTTACTGATTGGAGAAATATTTCTACTGATACACTTTGATAACATGGAAAGTCTGCTCTTTGGAAATATTAGCCATGAATATCTCTGTCTTATCAGTCTTTCCATTCAGATTCAAGAAGATATTGGTTGACTGGTGATGTGGCCCAGTGCTTCCCTTTGTCGGTTTCCTTCACAAAGCACCCCCATGCCCAAACCTCTCTCCAAGCCATACTGATACATAGCATTAAAATGTCACACAAGGAGAGTTTTACTCACAAACACCACTGGCAATTGTTTACATGGTACGTCTTCAGGGAGAATGAGATAACCTGGATGCTCACCATCTTCATGCCTTTACTTGCCTTGTATTAAAATAATCCTCTTATCTACCTCCTCAGCTCCATTGCCCTGTGGTCCTTCTTGCCATACCACTGGTGAAACCCAAATCCTAGTTCAATTCAATCCAGTGCCAATGTGTTCCTGCCCCTAAAGAGCTGATCATGATAACAACAACAACAAAAAGTGTATGCTGACTGCTCTTCTTTCACATTCATGCCCACAATCCCGAATAGCTTCTTAATGCTGCTAGGCAATCATCCTGCTATTTCGGAATCTATCCACTCTCTCTCAGTAAATATAAACCTCTAACACCTCCCTGTGATTCCACTTCACTTAGAAAATAGAATCAGTTAGAAGAGCTTTGCTACAAGGGCTGCTACCTGCGTTTATCTGTGTTTACCCAGATGTGCCTTTCCTCCTGGTATTAGGATGAAACTGTCCGTCCTGTCCCTTCTTTGCAATTCTAGAACATTGCTTCAGAAAGGCCTTTCCCTCTCACTACGCCACCATCACGTTCCCTACCGGATTGCTCCTAGCAGCATAAAAACATGATTTTATTTTTCCCATCTTAAACACAAAATCCAGCAAACAAACTTCTCAAATCTACTTCAGTCTTGAGGAAACACCCGATTCCAGGCTCTCCATTTTGGCAAAACTCCTTGAAATTATTTTCTATATTCACTCTCAACATTTTTATATTCACTTTCTTTCCTATTCCTTTTTGAAAAGCCTCTTCAGGTCAGCAATTACCCCATCAGTGCTAGACCCAATAGTCAGTTCTCATACTTTATATTGCTGGATCCACTGGCAGCATCTACAAGGATAATTGTAAGCTCTACCTTGAAACACTTTCTTCACTTGTCTTCCAGCCCATCACACTCTCCTGATTTTCCCCTCCCCCCACTGCTCATTCATCTTTTCTGGCTGAAGTGGTCAGTCAATCCTAGTCCTCATCTCCTCTCCATTTGCATTGTTCTCTTGATAAAGCCATCCTGCTTCAGTTGTGCTAACTGTACAAACCTCAATAAAAAACAACAAATTTCAACAGGTTAATTTTAATGATATCCCTGTAAAAGAAAGATTTAAAATGTCAACATTGAAAAGTAATTGGAAATACAGCAAACTGACTTGTTAAAATAGCCCGAGCCCAGCTGGTGTAGATCAGTGGTTGACCTATGAACCAGGAGGTCACAGTTCAGTTCTGGTCAGGACACATGCCCAGGTTGCAAGATCAATCCCCATGTAGGAGGCAGCCGATCAATGAGTCTCTCTTATCATTGATGTTTCTGTCTCCCTCTCTGTCTCCCTTCCTCTCTGAAATCAATAAAAATATTTTTAAATCCCTAAAATGTATTCAAAGAAAAAATATTAATTTAAATAATTTCTTTTCTATAGCTGCTCATAAAAAAAGGTATTTTTACTGTATCATTTGGAACAACTTTCTAAAGAATCATTCCTACAGTATGATTGGAAATGAGATGTATGATAATTTTATATGATATATTAATTGAAAATTCAAAACTATACTTCTCAGTGATAACATAATATCCAGTATTTTTGCCTAAAATTAGACATTATATCATCCTGAAATGTATTGGTTGTCCCAGAAAAGGTCTAAGAGAGATTACACTGGGAGACAATTTGCCATGTGTCTCTTGCATTTCTACATATTTTGCAAATGGAAGCACTGATAAATTTATTTTAGAATATCTTCAGGAATGTCGGGATAGCACGAAATATTGAAAAATAGAAATAGCATGTCTTCTCTGAGACCTTCGTAGATTGATATGATGCCCAGCATAATAAAGATAATGTCTCCCTTTGAGTCAAGGTTGAACATGTTCACTTGAAGCCTTTTACAAGATTAGGTTCTTCTGTACTTGACTTGCTCATCTGTGGCACATTCGCTGCATGTGCAGTATTAACCAATGCAACCTCCATGCCTCCCCATGGGATTTGGGAAGCAAGAAGAAATACAAAGTTTGTCCCAGGAGTCTCATGTCTTTTGAAACTATGGCAGGCTAACTTGTTAGCTTACAAGAAGGGGGAAATCTCAGAAACCTCACAATTTTTGACAGATCATGAACTCAAAGTGAATTTTTTTATGTAAATGAACCACAGTTGGAAGATATTTTCTATGTGGTGATTTGGTAATAAAATTGCTATGGTATTTAACTGACATTTTAAACATTCCTTATAGGCAACTATACATACTGTATATAAATGTTTCCAAAAGTATTACTATTATTATTGCAAACAAAACTCAAAGTCATCACTTTTATCTCCTACATGTTCCCAAAACATGTAGCATCACATTGAAGAGGACATGAATAACAAAGGGAATTTGAATTAAATAAAATTAAAAATATATTTACAACTTATTTCTGTCTCAAACTTTTAATCATTACTTTATTGAAGAAAATAGAAAAAACTTTTAGAAAATCCATTTGCTATTCAAAACCCTGCATCGATAATTGAATTAAGCTTCATGACTAAAGGAAATAAATTATTACAATTCATTCATTATTATACTTCATTATAATTTGTTTCTTCATTTATATTGAAAGATAATTGTCAGGTATTACATTTATTGTTATT